TGACTAATAATAATCAGATATATAAAGATTAGAAACGCATGTGCAAACATCTTAATGTCAATTGCATTAAAAATTAATTTTTCTGTAAAAAAAAAAACAAAGCTCTTTCTAACCATTTTAAACTGTGCTATATATACTCTAGCAAGTGAAAAAGCACACAAAATTGTGTCATAAAAACTCATGAAGCAAGACATTTTACAAACCTTGGGGGAATAAGAATCAGTCTCACAGGTTCATGACGTTTCAAGGAAACCTCTATAAACTCCAATTGCAACAAAGGAATATACTTTCGCTTCTCCATTTTTTTCTTTATTCTGAGACCCTATTGAAGGCAGGACTGAAGAAGCTTAGCATTCTCCACCTCAACTGCCAGAGATGCCATTCTTCTCTCTTACATGTGAAAAGAGGAGAGGAACACGAATGACTGAATGAACTCTACTCCACAGAGAACAGAAGATGGATATCTTCAGATTTTTCACAGAGATGATAATGGTGAGATTTCTTATGGCATATTTTCAACATTTTCAGAAATGACTTTAAATTATCATAAAGTGCTTTAAAGTTTGAATGCTGTGGTTCAGGCTACTGTGGTTAATGAAAACATGGACCTTTAACTGGATAACTGTGTAGAGGAGTTATGTAAACTCTTGTGCTCGTTAGTGGAAATTTTGGGACCATGGGCAATCACTATAGAATTTATCCACAGAATACGTGAGGAGCCCAGATCAGCGCTTGTCAAGTAATGATTGCCCGAATTGCCCCCAAATCGTATTTGAGGCAATGCAAACATACATCTTTCCTTCCCTCCCTTCATTCCTTCTTTCGTTCCTTCCTTTGTTCCTTCCTTCGTTCCTTCCTTCCCTCCCTCCCTGCCTCTCTCCCTCCCTCCCTCCCTCCTTCCTTCCTTCCTTCCTTCCTTCCTTCTTTCCTTCCTTCCTTCTTTCCTTGCTTCTTTTCCTCCAGTCCTCCTCTTTCTTCTTGAGCATCTATTTCTTTAAGTCCAATAAAATTAAACATCCATTCAACTTATCTTGAAGTTGAAGTCAAGGGAGGAATAGCACAGTGTGGTTTTTTCTAATATCACCAGGATTTACTTGTTCTTTCATTTTCAGTGAATAACACTCATGTTCTTAGACTTCTAAATTTTTAATTAAAATATAAGTTGTTTTAAGGATTGCCAAGTTCATGAAGTAGGTATATAGTACATTACTCTTGGGATGTAATGAATATTACTTATATTCAGTTTACTTTTCAACAATATATTACTTATATTCAGTTTACTTTTCAACATTTACTTTTTCTATATTGCAGGATTCAAATTAGACTACACATTTTGTTTCAGTTAATTCTCTTCTAAATGATTTAAAATCATTTCCTTTGTGATCATAAACTATGACTACACTATATTTTACATTGTGGAAGTTCTATACCAAATTTTGACTATTGTTTTACTGGACATATTGTTTTACTGGACACATTATTTTGTAATGAATGAACATCTTCATTAGAACAGAAAGATGAAGTGTAGCTTTATTTCATTTTTAAATTGACATATAGCCTCGCATTCCTTGGAACCTCCTGCCAGTTTGATTTTCCCTGTATAAGAAGGCTACCTGAAACAGGATTACCTGTGAGTGGATCTGAGGGTAGTGACACTGCACCATTTATTACTAAGTACATTAGAAAGTATTATGCATTAAAAGACTGTCATATTTTACAAAACCTATGAAACAAAATCATTTTCCTTATGAATAAATATGAAGAAAATTATTTTCCAACTTTGGTGCCAAACCAATGTTTATAGATGAAAATATCTTCTCTGCTCTGTGCTGTTATCTGGTGCGACTTGTTCTTAACACTAATCGTTTCCAAATCTTCTGAGTCCATCATTTTTATGTGGTCCCCGAATACTTTTGATATCTCTTCCCATTAAATCTATTTACAGAAATGAAATTGGAATCTAATAGAATTTTGGAATGTTTAAGTAACCTGATCCTTTCTACAAAAATGTATGAGGGTCTGAATATGAGTGCAAATCTCAAGTATCTGGAGTAGATTTTTTCCCTTGCATTTTCATTGTATGCAATGGTGAGTTTAATCATAATCAACATTTTCATTTATATGTATTATTTCCCTGTGATCTCCTCAACCTTTACAGCTGTATCTATCGTGCTTTAGCCCCGAAGGACAACTAGCAAATATCATAGCAGACTTCTGCATCTATCATAAGTGATTTTTGTCTGATCCAGCGATCATATAGAGTGTGGTTTATACTGAAGTTTATTCTGTGATATACCTTATGAGTAAATACAGAGCTAATATTGCAGAGGCTAGTGAGGAATTGAGCTTAGATCATCACAAGATTGGTGGTTTTAAATTAAATATATGCAATGTTCTATGATAGATTTATTAACATGTAAAATTGTATCTATTCTCTTTAAAAGCCATTAATAGCACCTCATTTTTCTTCTCATCACAAATGCATCATTGTTTTATTCATAGCCCTGTAACACAATATTTGTACTGCAAATACATACATATAAGTATATATGCATATATATGTATTCTAACACAATAATTATATTTTACTGACACATTTCACTTGTGTATAGGAGAGATTACAGACACCTTTGAAACACTGAATACCTGGAGAAAATGAATTGAATTTCTGCATAGAGGATGCATGGAAGAGCTTTGTGTAAGAAAGGGGGCTGAGATGTCACATGAGTAAATTACCTCTTGCATTATAACACATTACCATGAGTAACATTTTGAAATTTGCTCTTTGGCCTTCCTCATAACACTTGGAGAAGAACAAGTAAGCTATTCTATGCATTTTTATAGTAGCTTCATATAAATCACAAACTATATCTTGGAGAATTATATTTTTTTATAAATATCACATTGTATAATTAATTGCCTCAATACTCTAAATTACATTTAAAAATGTCTTTTTCTTATTCAACTACATATTGTCATCAATTTCATATGCAGACTTTTGGTCTATTGACTTCTTTTTGTTCATCATATACCCGTTTACCTGTATTGCCACACTAAATATCTTATTTAGAAATGAAATTCTCATTGCTGCCCTATTGATTCCATGGGTGTTGGAACCTGTGACATTTACAATCCCAAATTAAGAATCTTTTGTTGTTTTTTTCTTAAATTTTTTAATTAAACCTCTTCCACAAATAAAATAGCAACAATAATCAATGCCACATATTGATTAATATGAGCTGAAGTCCTGAGCAGTAACTCAGGGGAACATTTCACTTAGTTATCATGAAGACACCATAGTATTTATAAAGTTCTGTTCTGGTTTTAGGATAGTGTTTTAAAAGTGAAACTTCAACACTTTTAACCTGTACTTCATATGTTTTGATAGACACTTTCCCACAGTCCTGTCTGTTTTATGAAAAACAAATTAATTCAATTACTAAAATCTCGCCCTTCGAAAATAAACTACTTCTCTAACACAAGAAGATAATTTATCTCCCCTATATTTAA